TGACTTTTATATTACATACCCAGTCCGTTGAGGATGACAAATTTTTTCAACAATTATAATTTTATCATCAACGACCCAAATTATTTCGTAAGTGTAAAAAAGGTTATATTACAAAGTTATCCACTATCATTGGTTGAATGATCATGTGATATATTATAGAGTTATTTAATTGAGGTATTATTTCAAGATGAAGTCATTTAGGGACTTTTTGGGATTGCTGTAGTTTTTTTTTTTAAAGGTTCTTGTAAAGTAGTCAAGGAGAAAGTAAATTTTTTGAAAGAATCAACTTCTTAGTACAAATGTTTCTAAAAACAGTAAGAAAATAATATCTAAATAAATTTGTGGTTGTGGTCTATGAAAATAAAAAAAAAGAAAGTTGTCTCAAATAAACCATAAATCTCAATCTCAAACTATTGATCTATCTTGTCGCACAAGGCGAATATTTATTGGTCAAAGCCTCTACGACCATATTGGCTTAACCAAGATGATAATAAATATGAAAGTCGTAAACCTTCATTTATTCAATTCAAAACATCATCTCTCTCATTTTATATATTTTATATTAATATTTTTTAAACAATTAACATATGATTAGCTTGTTAGCTAGTTAAATTTAACTTATAAATCATTTGTTAAGCCAAACTTGAATTAGCTTAAAGGTCGGCTTGCCTTAGTTACAAAATAATAATAAAAAAAGAATCTCTGATTATTATTAATGCATATATGTGATGACTCGACCGCTCGGGCTCTTAAGTGGTTGGGCACATTTGGAGTTTTGGACTTCACAGAATAACGAAAATATGCTTAGAATCTATTAAGTTTATTGTAATTTATATAAAAATGTTCGCAAATTTAACTACATGTTAGTAATAAAAGCATAACATTATATCTTTGAAGTGACACTGAGTTGTGTGCTTGAAAATAGTGACATTATATAGCTATAAAATCTTATAAAAATGCAATTGCTCCTTTGGCTCAAATATCACCAGCGAAAGTGCCAAACCATCATGAAACCAAATTAAGCAATCAGTAGAAACACAGGCAAAGCTTTTTATGGAAAACACCCCTTTTGGGGAATATAGAAAAGAAAGCTATAAGCGCAAAAACTTGCTTAAGAAAATGAAAATATACATTTCTGAATACTTTTGCACAAAGGAAATAAGAAAATGTTAATGGATATATATATATATATATATATATATATATATATCAATGCCATTATATTTGTTGATTATGGTGTGACAGACATCATATACATGAATTCATAGAAATAAAGAAGATGAGAAGATTCTTTCCTAATTATTATTTGACAGCATTTCTATCCAATTTAATTAATTTTTGCAGTCTTTGGTTGGCGAGCACATTAGAGATTGAGATTCTATTTTGCCAACTGCTGAGTTTGCTTATAATAATTCCATTAACCGGACCACAGGTTTAAGTCTTGAAATTGTATACGGGTTCAAACCTAAACAGCCGTTAGATCTGATACCCATGTGTTCTAGGTTTAGGATTTCTGAGTCTGCATCATCATTTGCATCACATTTGCATGAGTTTCATAAGGAAATTGCACAACAAATTGAAAGGAATAAAAATGAATATAAACTACATGCAGATTTGAAACGACACTTTAAAACTTTTGAGGTTGGTGACTCCGTAATGGTGCGGATTCGTCCGGAACGGTTCCCGCCGAGAACAGTTAAGAAGTTGCATGCCAAGAGTGCGGGATCTTTCAAAATACTTAAAAAAATTAACGATAATGCATATGTAGTAGATCGGCCTGCAGATTTCAATATAAATCTCTCTTTTAACATATAAGACTTAGTGAAATATGAAGGTCATGATTTTAACCAACCAAATCCACTGATAAAACAACCTTGTGTGAACTCCTCCTGTGAGATCCCAAACCTACCTCCACTACCAAATATTCCTAAATTACCCATGGCAATCATGAGTGATGAGATCATATCCTCAAGAGAAGGTGGACGAATGAGGTATTTGATCAGGTGGAAAGGAAAGCCCGAGTCAGAGGATATGTGGCTAGATCGCAAGGAGTTGCAGCATATTCACCCATATGCACTAGAGATCTACGAGAGCACCATAGATACTTACTCGACGGAGTCGAGTTTTCTCCCACCTCGGGAGAATGATGGGGACATCAGCTGGTGGAAGGTTTATCAGAGGCGTGGCCGCCGATCTACGGCCACGATCGAGTCCTGATATATTTCTGAGTTATTTATGTTATTTTCCTATTCATGTACTTTTCTATTTTCTTGTTTCATGTATTTGTTTTATTTATTTTTCCAGATGTACCCTTTTAGTAGGGAGTGTCGTATGTAAGCCCGAAGGGCAAGATTGTCTTTTAATTTTCTGGAGTCCTTGTACTTGGCTATTTATAGCCTCATGTCTTATGTTTAGAGATAATGAATGAATGATTATGAAAATTTTCCTGCACTTGTGTTCTTGAAGTTTATGAGAGAGCTTGAGAGAGAGAGAGAGAGAGAGAGAGAGAGAGAGAGCTTGGTGGAGCCTAGGATAGGCCCCCCATCTTACCCTACAGTCACCACCGGTGGCTCTTGATTCTCTTCCCCTTTTTTCTACCTACCCATTACCTCCACCGCCGGCCTGCACCTTGCCTCACCCGAGCCCCTCATCCCCTCTCAATCCCACGACCACCTCACCCAACCAACCTCACCATCCCTCTTCCAAAACCGACAGTTACCTAATCTTAGCCACCGGCCACAAGGGACTTCCCCTCCCTCCCTTTTCATCCTTTATTTCCTATTATAGATTTAATAATATTTGGGATTAAGTTTGAATGCAAATCCAAGTGATTTAAAATTCAAATTATTTCCTAATACACAATCTATTTTAGGAAAGTCTTTAAAATTCTTTCCAATCAATTCATAATTGATTGGGACTTAAATTGTCTTTCCTAATTTATGTATCAAAAATCAGCAATCAATAAATAATTACTCAAATCCCTCTCCCCAATATTGCCGCCGGCCCCTCCCTCTTTGGGTTAGGATTAGGAAACCTTTCCTAACTCCTACTCTCTTCTCTTGGGAAATATTTCCTCTCTCGTGCCAGCTGAAATTTTTAAAACCCAAGCCTTTAATTACTTTCCAAAATCTGAGAGTGGAATTCGGAAATAAATCCCTAATCCCCCCCTTCATCCCGCCGGCTCCCTTACTGGACTTTCCTAAAGTCTACCCAGGATACATTGCCTCTCTTTGGGAAGAGTTTGAACTCCAACCTGCTGCTGGCCGAAATTTCCCAAGATCCCACCTTGGGTTGCCTCTCTTTCAAAGCCCCTCTCCAGCCTTAACTCCTCACTTGAGTCCCAACCTAAATACACCCTCTCCTATCTCAATTTTCTCATGAGAGAAATCTGAAATTTCTCTCAGGTTTTTGGAGCAAAATATGAAAATGCTCTCCGATTTTGGAGAGGATCGGAGAGGAGATATGTCACATAAATCCCATGAATGGCAGATCCAGCAAATGATTACAGTTTAACTTGGGACGAGGACAGATTCACCGACCTCCTACGATCACCTTTCTTCGATGTGAATCCAAGGATTGATCATACTGTCATGGACTACTTGGAGCGTATTCTGGACACCTTAGTAGAAGCCATCGACGAGCACTTCGAAGGCATCGAGTGGAGGATCTCCACCACCCCTTGACGAGAGGTTCTCTTTTCCCCTTGTTCAATATATTTCCTTAGTCTAACTTCATTTTGTGCTTGATTGTAGTCACAAAGGACGACTCTCTCTGCTACTGCTAAGATTAGTAAACATAGAGCTTTGAGTGTGCCTTTATGCTTACTAATTTTCTTTGTTAGATTAGGGATTGTACTGAGGCTACTACTACGACATTAAATAATTTACTAATTATTTTGAAAGCTTTTACCAACTCTCTGGTTATGTAATTTAGCCTAAGCGGGTGTGACCCCTTATTCGTTATATTTCATTGTTTTGAACTGCTACTAGTTTTCTTTTATTTCATTCCAATCAAGAATTATGCAAATTCCTAATGAATTGGTCACATTCATACGTAGTTTTGCATCAGTGGTGGTAACTAACGCTTTGGAAGGAGCTGGTTGAGAAGAGGGGATGCAATTTATATTCAGACGATGCCAGCAGTTGGCAGCTGAATGTCCTTTCTTGTGACAAATATGCAGGTTGTTGATGTTCGATTAGGAGGACGAGTGCTTCAGGGTGTGAATCTGCCTCAAACTTATCATCCCCCTACCACGAAGTGAGTAGAGCTCTGTATTTAGATATGGAGAATAAAGGTCGTCAAGGCTAATGGGATGAAGCATTGTGCAGATCAACATTTTGAAAGCTTGGTATGTTGGTGGGTAGACCATTCAAGGTATACAAGATAATGTTTTCCTGATCAATGTTGGCTCCTGTGATTGTGATTTTGTCTACCAATGTTTTGATTTCGAAAACGTATTCGGTCATGGTGAGTTGTTTCATGGAGATGTTAAACTTCTTGAGTTGAATGTTTCCGGATCAATTTGAAGCTTACATGCATCTTTCTATGGTAAGCAAAATAGCCAAGGAGTCGAGATGAAGAATTTTGTGGAGAATAGAGCAGCTTGATCTATGAGAACCCATTCATTATATTTGGGGTTGGTGGTGGCCATACCTTCCAATGATTGTGATAAATAGGGTGTTGTTTTTGCTGTAGATTCAACGAAGCTAGCAAATCCAATGGCTTAGAGCAGCTTGAGCACTTGAGATCTCCATATGGGGTAATTATCATTTGAAAGTTGGGTTGGTACAATTGTCTTGCATTGGAGATGACAAATTTTGCGTGATGTTGGGATAGTGCAGCTATCAACTAAATGATCTGTAGCTGGTCTCCTATTTAGGACGATGAAGATTGTACCATAGGTATGTGTTCGACTTTTTATGCCTGACGCTGACTTTGATACCATAAAGAAATGTTTACTGCTATATGTTTGATTGCTTACCTTTATAGTATACTTAATGTAGAAAGAGACAAACTACTTTTTTCATTCCTCTATATTAGAATTGAGTGAGTACAGAGTGCATATAGAGGCGTTTTCCTTTACACGTGTATTGGAATTAGGTTTGGTTGTTAGGAATGAACGATTGAGATTATTTCAGCTGTGTGATGTTGCTTGGCTGTCAGAGGTCGGAGCATGTGTACCTTTTAGTCTTCTATGAAAAAATCCATAGAAGTTTAGTCTATCAAGCAAAGAAAAAAAAAAAAAAAAAACAATTGATGTAACTTCACAAGCTATTTGCAAATCAAGCACGCCTAATCTTGATGTCAGCTTCCCTTCATCTAGAAGTGACTATTATAAGGTTTATGACTTTAAAGCCAGCCCTCTCAGGTCTTCTAACAAGCTATTCTACTACATTTATGTCTTTGTAAACCTGAAATAAAGCAAATTGAAAACAAAGAAACAAAAGAACAGCAGCAAAAAGAGAAGAATAGCATGATAACTTAACCATGCAACTCAATTGCAAGAGTGATCCGCACCAACACAATAGAGATATACTTACATATGGCTAATTCCTTGTCAAGTTTTGGCAACCTCCTCCATGCTTGAAGTTGCTCTTTAAGACAATGTCTGAATAAAGATAGGCTAAAGCTAGTATCAATAATCAAATAAGTTTTGTGATGGAAAAAAGTTTAATAGTTAAAACGGAGAAAAAGATAAGTTCATAACACAAAAAAAGACAAATTTAGAAGAATATAAGATTTAATTTCTTCACATCTAGCATTCAATTGAGGCCTCAATAATGCCAAGAAAAAAATATAGCAAAGAATGTTAAGTTACAAGACTCTCATTATAGAGAAGAAATGATGGATATGTCTACCTACTTTATTTTAAACCCGTCAAAAATGAAAATAAATATTACCAAGTTTTTCATTATAGATAGTATATGATGATGATTAAAATTATTCAAAATGTAATGTTGTACTGGAATACTGCAATCATTTGTAGAATTGTTCTAAAAAATATTTATTGAATTACGCTCCAAGGCATAGAAAATAGACTTGAGAAAAAGCTCTAAGCCATTTGATACTTCTGAATTGCTTGAAATGCATATTTTATGCCGAAATTTGTGCTGGTTTAATAGGACTTCTTATTTTTTTTTTTAATAGGACTTCTTATGATCCAATAGTACTGATTAAATTAGCAAATGATCTCTTTTTATTATTCATTTGAAAATTTGAAATAAAACTTCTTGCCATATCAATCAAAATGACTGCAAGAAAGAAGAAAAAACTGACATTTATTTAAGCTAATATTCAACTGCATCTTAAACATAATTTTTTTTAAAATTTACGGCAATTCAATAAGAAATTGCTCATATCAACGAACTTAAAGGTATTCCAAGTTATTAGAATATAAGTACCTTAATCAGCAAAGGTATTCATCAGTCGTCCCCATGAGGTTAGCTAAAATAACATAAAAGAAACCTACTGATTAATAACTATATCCTCTGCACGCTATTAAGCAGAGTGGTTCTCAGATATGAGTTCTCAATTTCTTTATATTGATTTACTTTGATACAGAAATTGAGTTTCCCATAAAAAAATTAGCTTATATCTACAGGCAATGTCTTAATTAACCTAGGCAAGAAAATAAGAGAATTAAACAAATTAAAAGCATCCAGACAAGCATTTAGCCACCAATCCAATACGAACTACTCAAACGGTCCAACACAATCATTCCACCAATTAACAAAAGAATAGTGAATGCACGTGCTTATTCAAATGCAAACTTAGTTAATGAAAAGCCACTATGTGAATGTTACTCGTTCAAATGCAAAATTAGTGAATGCAAAACCACTTTCGTGCTCTTCAAAACATAGAAAATCCCAAATCTGATACCTGATTTCATTTATCAAAACAATCACAACCTTAGACGACCTCTGGAAAGGAGTTGCAACCGATCAGCGATAATTAAGTTCCAATAGACCACCGTCGGACAAGAGTGTTGCTGCAGAACGCGAAAGGATACCTCAGATTGTCACCGGAGAGTAGTTGCTGGAGAACAAGAAGGTTGCACAGAGCCAGAACAAGAGAATGCAAAGCATTATTTGTAGAAGTTTTGTGGGAGTTTGATAGTGCGGGAGAGTTTGACAAGCAAAAGAATATCAGTGAATGCAAAATCACTTCCAGAACATAGATATTAAATTAATAAATGAAAAAGAAGAATAGTGAATGCAACCTCCCGTTTTGACTCCCGATCCAATAGGAACGTCATAGAAACTCTTCTTCACAAAGCGACCCACGTGCCAGTCGTGACTCCCAATCTAAAAATAACTGTCAAGGCCTCTGGGAAACCAGCAACCTCCTGTCCTGACTCCCGATCTGACAGTAATAACGTCATAGAAGAAGGTGAAGAATCTTCTTTAGCGACCCTTTAAAAACTCTTCTTCACAAAGAAGACGATTGGAGAGCTCCCATCATGGCTCCTGATCCTAGAGGAACAACGTCGTAGATGAAGAAGATTTATAAGGCTTTTTTTTTTTTCAAAATCTTCCTCATGTGATCAATTTTTAATGATGTATTATCATTCTATGTCTTAATGCTAAGGTTTAAAAGGCACTCTCTTACCATTCTCATATAGATTTAATTTGATTTCTTTTTTGTTACTTCCCTTTCCATTCAGACATTCTCAAAATAAGAAATATAATGAAAACAACTTGTAATATTTAGATGCTTAAGTTTACCAAATATCAAATTTCTTACAACATTTAGATCAAATTGTTATGATTATTCATATAAATTTGTGTTTTGATGAAAACAACTTGTTTTGATTAGAAGCTAGACATCTTCTTCTTAAAACATCACTGCTCCATTTCACTCCCCAAGCAATATTTATTGAAATAAGTAAATCTATATTATTACTATTATAAAAGTGACTTATACTTTTCCTTATATTTAATATCAAACTTTTATTTTATGATTTAAATTCTAACCCTATGTCTTATAATAAATATATTTATCATATATTATAATTTATCACATTTGTTAACTACAAATAACCAAATTATTTTAGTTTTTGTATTTAGGTATTACTACATATTTATGTATTTATTAGAGGGTTCTTTGCCTTGAATACAAAATATCTCTTCAACTTTCCCAATTTTTTCATATTTCATCTCCAACAAGAGCTATGAGTTATGATTTCTTAGTACAATGTACAACTTTACTAAATTGATAATAGTAAGAATATTGAAAAGCACATGTGAGTTATTCTCTACTAAAGAGTTATATCTACACTCGAATGTGTCATAGATTGAAAGCATTTTTGCAATACTGTAAAATGAGGCCAAGAAAGTTTTCAGTCAAAATTCAAAAAGATTTAGAAGGTAAATCTAGATTAGCTTAGGGACTATTTAGTTGCTTGCATATAGAGTGTAAAGTAATTCAAATGCAATGGTTTTAAAAATTTTTATGTTTTGCTTGAAGTAAATGAAAAGATGGTGACATAGCTAGGCACCACCACCACTCGCCTTCCCCACCACTACCGCCCCGGCCACTCTCAAATCATTTATTTTTGGATTGGTTTAGTTATTTTGATAAAGAAGAAGACATTGTCATTGAAGGATCAAATAATGTGTGTGTGTGTGTGTGTATATATATATACTATGAATTATATAGTAATGTTGCATCCTGGAATATTCACAACGATAGAGAATTATATAGTTTTAAGAAGAAGAATCCAACTGAATCAAGGGGCTCGCGTTCGGGTTCAAGTGGGCAAATTACGCAGGCAGGAGGGTTCGAGGCTGGGCTGTGCTCGATCGGGCAGAGGCAGCGGCAAGGTGCAGGTCACGCTAGTCTTCACATGGGTTAATGTCATGGGCTGAAGGCGGAACCAGGCAGGGGCCCTAGGGAAAGACCGACCGGTCTACACGCGGGATGGGGTCTCCGGACTGGGCTTCGTACATGCAATAACAATAATTTATATAAATAATTTGGATACAAATAATTGGGATAATTGTATTTGTACTCAAATAAGTTGAAGTCAGTATTTCAATTTGCCGAATTTGTCGGATGCTCGCATATTAAAAAAAAAAGGAGAGGACAACTAATTCATTAAACAGATGCCTAACTCTACATCGAATAATATATCAGATTTAAGCTCAAGCATAAAAACAAACCCAGATATTGGTTGATCGTGCTTAGCCTATTATTCCCCCAGTTTACATAGCGTCATAATAAAGGCATGCATAATATACAAGAAACACCTTGTTACTACAAGTTATATCTACAAATCGTTAGCATATCATGAAAAGGCCAAAGAGATTTTTGTGAAGCTACAAGTAGTAACATATGGAATAAAATATTCAAGGAAATTATAAGGTTTGGAAGCAGGATATCGGGCGTGACGGTGGGGTTGGCTATATGTTTAAAAAAAATTAGCGAAAGAAAATGATAAGGTTTAAAGATTATTATATATATATATAATAAATTATGAATAAGTGTTGGCAATAACCACAATCTAATTAGCAACTGTTGTTTTGCCCGTATAAAGAACAAAAAATGGAAATCATAGAGGGTTATGCGCACTTACTTTCAGGTTTCACAGAAGAAAAAAAAAATTTCTGGGTGTTCTATACATTAGGATCAGAAGCGTGGAGCAGAGGGATCCGGGCGATCACGGTGGCGATAGGGCTATACATCTGGATGTCCACGCGAGTGAGTCAGTTTGAGGGCTGGTGTGGCTATTGGAGTGGAGAGACAGGGTTTGTGTGAGTTTCGTGTGCAAGAGGGAGAGGGAGATAAAGAGCAAAGGGAGCATACGCGAGACGTATAACGCTAAGACGAATAATTAAAACTCTATCGCCGCGTATATTCTAGCCCGCAACAAACTTCTTTCTTTGAATGCTCAATTTATGCACTAAAATGAACATTTATTATCATTTCATTTTGTTGAGTCCATTGAATCTATTTTTGTTGAGTCCTTTCAAGTAAATATGATAGTATATTTATATATAATACATGATTTAAAATTCAATTAAACAGGACTGAATGTTTGAAGTTGAAGAAATTACTAAAATCTATTTAGTTGAAGAAATCAAGGGTTATAGCTTTCTATTATGATTAATTATCTAATAACATTATATGATTAAATCAAATTAATATTTAGGCTAATTAAGCATTAATTACGCTCACAAAGGGTAATTAAGCCTTAAAAAATAGATGCGTTTGGGAGTGTTTGTGCTTCACCACTTAGGTTTGGTTTGAGACAACTTTCTTAATGCTTTATGAAACAACTTTTTAATATAAATTTTCAAATACGAACAAAAAAATACTAAAAAACTGTTTCATAAAACAATAAAAAAAATATCCCAAACAAAAATATAATTTCTCTTAAAACCCAAAAAAAAAAACAATTTTGATGCCGTTGAGCTCCTCCTCGATAGGACGTCGGCTACCTGCAAGGAAAAATAAACAGAACAGGCACAAGACAACCAATGCCGGGTAACGCCTGAACTCTGTATGTTCAGGTTCTTCACTATGCTTTGGTAAAAAGAGGTTTTCAAAAACAAAGGAGACTGCCTTCTTCTCCCTGTTCTCACATCTATATGCAATTCCTATCTGCTTCCAGAAGAGACGAAAATGCTATAAACGAAAAATACAGCAAAATAAAACTAGTGGGTATGTGAAAACTAGAAATGGAAAAGAGCATCGTGGCTGTCAGCAAAACCGTTGGGGAGAGTATGGTGTCTCGCGTTTCCTTTTAAGCTATAGTGCACTGCATCAGTCTTCCCCCGCTTCAGAAGAGCTCGACTCCGACGAGCTAACGTGTATGATTGCATCATCAGGAGGTGAATATGCAGTTATGTCTGAAACATTAAATGTTGTAGACATGTTTAAGTCTGATGGTAAGGCGACGATGTAGGCATTATCATTGATCTTAGCAGTGATAGGTACTGGCCCAACTTTGCGACGCATCAGCTTCGAATGAGTTCCCGGCGGAAAACGCTCCTTTCGCAGACGGACCATGACCAAATCTCCTACATTGAAGAGCCGCTGCCTGCGGCGACGATCAATAGTCTCCTTGTACTTCTGATTTGACTTCAGAATTTGTTGTCTAATTTCCGCCAACATGTCAGTATAGTCCTCGGTGAACTAAGTGGCAGCTGGGGCTTTGCATTTCGGCAAAATGGCAACATCGAGAGTCGTATTTGGCGCCTTGGTATACACAATGTTAAATGGAGGTTTTCCTGTTGAGCGATTAGTCATCGAGTTAAAAGCAAACTTGGCTCTAGCTAACACATCTTCCCACTGTTTCGGATGGTCTTGTACAAGGCATCGCAGTAAGTTGCCTAAGGTACGGTTGACAACCTCCGTCTGGCCATCCGTCTGGGGGTGGTAGGCGGAACTAAGGCGAATGTCAGTGCCCAAACGTTTCCACAATTCGCGCCAAAAATGGCTTATGAATTTTACGTCGCGATCCGACGTGAGACTTCGAGGCACGCCATGTAAACGGACAATTTCGTTAAAGAAGGCGTGTGCAATAGCCATAGCATTCGAAGTCTTTTTACACGGAATGAAGTGAGCCATTTTTGAAAATCTGTCGACGACGACCATGATAGAGTCATGACCTCGCCGAGTTCTTGGAAGTCCCAATACGAAATCTAAGCTAAGGTCTTCCCAGATTGAATCAGGAACTGGAAGAGGCATATAGAGACCGGTGTTGTTAGCGCCTCCCTTATATATCTGACAAATGGGACAGCTCTCCACTAATCGGATAACATCCCGGCGCAACCTTGGCCAGAAAAATTGTGATTGAACATGGTTCAATGTTTTGTCTCGCCCCGCATGTGCTGCTAAGCCTCCGCCATGAGCTTCCCTGATTATAAATTGTCGCCAAGACGACACAGGAACACATAGTAAATTGTACTTAAACAAAAAGCCATGTCTTACCGAATATCCTTCAGCTGGATGCGCTCCCAGGCAGGATTTCCAAGCTTCCTTGAAATCAGCATCTGTTTCATACAATTCCTTAAGACATTCAAGGCCGGTTGTCTCTGTCTGTAACTGAGTGAGCAGAAAATTCTTCCTGCTAAGCGCGTCGGCCACGCGATTATTCACGCCGGGCTTATGTTGAAACGAGAATGAGAATCTTTGAATGAATATCAGCCACCGTGCATGCATACGGTTCATAGTCTTCTGGCTATTTAGATATTGTAAAGCTTTGTTGTCGCTACACAATACAAAGTCTTGATGCAACAAATAAATCTCCCATTGCTTTAAGGCTCGAATGACAGCGTATAGCTCTTGCTCGTAGGCTGACCATTTTTGTCTAGTGTCACTTAATTTTTCACTGAAGAACGCCACAGGTTTGCCTTCTTGCGAAAGAACTGCTCCGATCCCCACAGAGGATGCGTCTGTCTCGACGGTAAATACCTTGTCGAAGTCAGGTAACGACAACACAGGGGACGAGATGAGTGCTTGTTTGACGGCTTCAAAGCTCTGCTGCTGATCTGTACCCCAACGAAACTCCTTTGTCTTTAGACAATCAGTCACCGGTGCTATTAATACGCTGAAACCTCGAATAAATTTCCGATAGAAATTTGCCATGCCGTGAAAACTTCTTACTTCAAAAAATGAGGTAGGAGATGGCCAGTCACGGACAGCAGCAATCTTCGCAGGGTCCATGCGAACGCCAGTGGCATCAATGATAAATCCAAGAAAATGGACTTCTCGGACGGCGAGTTCGCATTTGGAAAGATTGAGGAATAGGCGTTGCTGTTTCAGAATATCAAACAGTGTTTGGAGGTGCTTCAAGTGACTTTCCCAACATTTACTGTAAACTAAGATATCGTCAAAGTAAACGATACAAATCTTTCCTAGATGGGGCTTCAAGATCTCATTCATCATTCTCATAAAAGTGGATGGTGCGTTGCACAAGCCAAAAGGCATGACTTTCCATTCATATAACCCTTGCGGTGTTTTGAATGCTGTTTTCCACTCATCTCCGGGCCGAATTCGGATCTGGTGATAACCACTTCGCAGATCGAGCTTGGAAAAAATGGATGACCCCGTGAGCTTGTCCAACAATTCTTCGATACGGGGAACTGGGAATCTATATTTTACTGTGATTTTATTGATGGATCTACTATCCACACACATCCGCCAGCTCCCGTCCTTTTTTGGTACAAGTAACGCCGGAACAGCGCAGGGACTCAAGCTGGTTTGTATGAATTGTCTTTTCAGCAAATCATCAATTATCTCTTGGAGAATGAGCTGTTCTTTTGGATTCAACCTGTAATGAGGTAGGTTTGGCAACACAGCACCGGGTACTAGATCAATTTGATGTTGTATACTCCGAAGTGGCGGCAATTCATCAGGCAGATTGTCGGGAGCAATCTCACGGTATTGCTGTAGCAAATTGTGAATCTCACTGTTCAACTTAGTGAGTGGTAATCCTTGGCTTTGTTCAGTTACCAACAATGCATACATGGGAGCTTGTTCCTTCCAGCAGTGAAGGAGTCCAGCCCCCGAAACAATTTGAACAGCGGACTGTCGGGGCTGCGGGGGCAGGTGCGATTTTGTTTCGGTGACTGTGGGTAGAAGCCGGAGTCGACGTCCTTTCCACTCGAAAGAATACACATTAGTTCGACAGTCGTATATTGCACCCACATCAAATTGCCAGGGTCTTCCCAATATCAGGTGACAGACGTCCATATCGAGGACGTCACACAAAACTTCACAGACATATTGCTTCCCTATGGAAAATGTGACCCGGCACGATTCCGAGACCAAGATATCCATTCCCCGCTTAACCCAACTGATCTTATACGGGCGAGCATTCTTGGTAGTATTCAACTGTAAACTTTGCACTACAGCCCTGGAAATCACATTCTCAGTACATCCGTTGTCGATCAAAAGATCGCATACTTTGTCGCCTATAGTACAGCGGGTTTTAAAAATGGAGTGGCGTTGTGAATCAACGGCCTGTCGTGGAGCCAATAGCAGCTTTTCTAACACACAGACTAGAGACTCACCCTCATCCGCGGGAACATCTTCCGACTCACCATCTGGGTTTACGTCGTCAGCATCTGGGTCTCCTCCCTCTTCACCTTTGGCTAGATTAATTTGCTGTCTCTGTGGGCACTCATTCGACTTGTGGCCGGGCTGGAAACAACGGAAGCATTTGAGTGTAGAAGGCTTGGCGTAGGGATTTTCCTTGGCTATAACTTTCGGTTTTGATTGCATCCGGGGGTCTGGGGAGCTGAGGTTCTGGGGCGGACCCTGAGCCGATGAGCCAACAGCCGGTGCTGTTTTGATAGCAGGATTGCTACCCTTCCCGGACGCACTAGCTTCCTGCCAATGCCGACGATTATAAGAATTTTTGGCTAACCGTGTCTGCTGCATTTCCACCTTCATGGCAAGATTCACTGCTTGAGCCATCGACCATATGGGGAGAGTATGGTGTCTCGCGTTTCCTTTTAAGCTATAGTGCACTGCATCAAATTTACTATTAAACATTAGTAATTAAATTTGTAAATTAAAATTAATCATTAATCTAATGTTAATTAGACTATTAAGTTTAATTAAATCATAATTGAACCATTTATGAACAAAAATTAAGGTAGAATACATAGGGTGACACCATATTCTTAAGAGAAAATATCTCAACAAAATGAATACATGAAGCTAAACAATGGTCATTACCAACATGAATTAATATATAATGACCATTCTTAAGAATTCATGAATATATTACTTATAAAATGACAAAAAAAAATTCACATTGCCATATTTTCGCTAGCAATGCCAACCCAATTGCTTGATTCAAATCTCCCATGTTTTTCCTGATAGATTACAGAATCAACCAAATCAGCCAGCCTTATGCTTTTCAACTGAAGCCAAATGCCAGCTACCCAAAGGAAATTTCTTTTCAAACAATAGAGCTTCAATATTTATGCCCGGAAATAAAATTAGTTGTTAATATGAAAAAAAAAAAGGAAAAATGCAGCTTATTGCCAAAACATACCGTGGGTGTAGGTAGGAGGAGAACATACAAGAAGATGCAAATAGCTATCTCTGCAATGAAATTTTTGCAGTAGGAGCTTGTTGTCCTTTGTAGGAATGAAAACATTCTTTAGTGTATTTGTAGGCTTAAAGATCTTATACGATATCTGCAAACAAAGGTGAAACATATATCTGGGCATATGGCACCGCTGACCTAGCGACCCGCTTTTCGTCGCTGCTTTGTGACAAGGAGAACGAAATTGCTTTCCAGCTCATCGAGATGAAGCGACTCCTAGAGACCCTTAAAGCCGCCAAAAACTCAAGTGGTGATGGTGGTGGAGGAGGGCGGCCAGGGAGTTTGGTGCTGGTCGGAACCAGGCCTGGAGACCCGGAGCTACTGATCCTCAAGGTAGTTTGGGCTATAGAGTGAGCTGATTTCATTCTCTACGACCATGTCGTCCCCAACGATGTATTGAGTCTAGTTCGAGGAAATGTTAGGCTTCTCTACGTTGGCAAGACTGTTGGGTATCACAACCAGACACATGTGCGTGTTTGTGATGAGCAGGATATTTTAAAGATCTCTAGCTTTTTGATTTTTAATCAAGATTATTGTTCTTCGTAAGATTAATTCCTCCTACGCAGGATCACAGAAAATTAGTGGCATTGTTGACCTCATTATTCGAAATCAATATTCCATGTGCCGACTCTTAGTGACTAAGTATTTGTAGCTTATTGTAGACGTCACCTATAGGACTTCTCTTAGGTGGATATCCGACGCCGTAACATCGACTCAACCTCTTAACTCGACTTAAATTACCACTACTTCAAATAATATTGACTCGGTGCAAATCTGTTTTAACAAACTACGGCTTTAATTAAACTCAAATCGACATGTCGCAAACACTATAAAATTAAATCAATGTTAATTGAGTTGAATCAATCAAACTAAAATATTATAAAAATAAATTTAGATAAAATTCATTAACTTAATTCATCATTTTAAAAAAAATCAATCATCTCATAAAATACGAATGTTTAATCGCAGCCATTGATTGGAGAGGATAGGATCTTAAATTCAAAATTAATTTGAATAAGCAGTTTTTGGATTCGGTTAGAACCAGTTCAGACTCCCACGATCTCCCTCTCCTGTTTTAGCGAACTGCCCTTGCTTTCTATTCGAAAAAAACGAACCGCTCCTCCCCTCCCACTACGCCTGCTCTCTGCTCGCAAGAAGCCCCTCCTCTTGGTCATCTCTCGGTTTTGCGAAGAACTCCAAGGGCCGAACCCCATCTCCTCCTCCCAGCCGTTGGCGAGCCTTAAGTCCGACCCTCTCTGCGGTTCGCGAGCCCAAGCCGACGACTCCAACCGATTATTGCCCTAGGTTGCCTCTTTTGCCCAAGTCGACGCCAGCAATCTTCTCAATCTTGGGTAATCTCCTCTTCTATCTTTCCCCTCATCCTTTCTAAATCATATCCATATTATCTCCTATTTCTTGGTGGAATGAAAAGAGAAATGTGTCTTGATTATTTTCTTTGAAGGAAAGAAAAAAGTGGGTTTCATTTTCTTTCTAGTTTGAAAACAAAATGTTAGAAACTTTCTTTCCCTAAAATAAGTTTTCTAAGGATTAAATTTCTGTTAGGATTTATGTAAGTGTATAGATTATCTCCTTTATTTTCATATGCTTTCATTCTTAACATAAGTGATTTTGGGTTTGTGAGTTTAATGGCAGCGGTGTTCCTCCTTTTTGTTTACTTTAATGGCCATATTATTTGTGAGCGCAAAGAAGCAATATGAGGCGAAATTTTCAAATCTCGCTCATGAGCTGCTTGGTCTTTCACAAATCTGAGAGGGGTTTTCCTGTTTAAGCTTTGCCGATGTTTGGTTTCCATAAATCTGTTAATATCTACACCTTTTCTTTTGTCGTGAAATAAGTAACAAATGTTATGCTTATGTCATTGGTTTTCTGAAAATCTTGATGACAAGAATTTTAGTAGTGGCTAAGATATTTGGGGTTGAAAGCATTTGGAGGTTTCTTAGATCGTTTTCAAATCACTACAACATATATGGATCTCATGTATTTTATTACATTAGATTCAATTTTAAATTCAATTATGATGAACATCACATACATTAGTTTCATCAATTGCTTGATAAATCCCGTTGTAAAATTTCTTTAGTCATATATTATGTGAACATTTATATTCGAAAAAAGCAAAATTGATCTTATTCATCATTCATAAATGGATTTATTAGTTTCAAGGAGAATGTGTTTGCATTATTTGCAATAGAAGATTTCAAGAGAGCATTGGCTTATTAAGTGGCGCTTCATTTTGTGTATGGAAGTTTTCTTTTTATGATTTAAAATCATGCATTAACGAAGTAATAAGGATTCGAGAATCTCATTATCTCATCCATGAGATTTACTGTTTTCTTTTTGAAAATGTGGGTTTCTACCTCTTGCTTTAGATGACTATGTCTTCATGTTTGTTTCGAGGATCTTGTTGGAAAGAAAAGCTATAAAGCTTGTTTAAAAAAAAAGAGTTGGAGAATTTTCATGTGCTTCAAATATAAGTTTCGCATAGACCCAAATATAATGTCTCTTCATTATGGTTGGAATATTTTCTTGAATTTTGGAAAAGTAAGGTTGCATCAAGTTTTCTTTCTCCTCTTATTTGCATTTGGTGAAAATGTTGAATTGGAAATACGCATATGAGGGTTTATGGTGGAAAACGTTTGGTGAAAATTGCTATGCATAATTGTGCTTTGCTTAATATATTTATGTGCTTTTCATGTTTTGGGAAGAGAACGAGCAAGAAAAGGACACTCTGCTTTGAAAACATGTGTATGTTTTGGAAAGTGAAGTGTATTGAATGATGAAACATATGTTTTTGAAAATTTTGTGTGTGTTTTGGAAGATGAGATATTTTGGAAAGTGTGTGTTAGAAAGTGTTTGGATCTTGAAAGATTGAGATTTGTAAAGGTTGAAAAGTGGATCTTGTATGTGAAAAGTAAGGTGTATGTGTTCATCTTTTCGAAAGTGAAATGAAGTGTTTTGAAAAGTGAAATGTTTGATTGTTAAAAGATTAAGTATGTAAGTGTTTTGAATGATAAAGTATGCGAACTTTGAAATAGTGAAATGAATGAATTTTGAAAAGTGAAACGTGTGCATTTGGGAATTGAAGTGTTTTGAAAAGATGAAATGTATGTTTTGAAAAGTGTATGAAAAGTGTTTGTGAAAATTGTGTATGATTTTCTTAGAAAGTCGACATGTGTATGTTTTGAAAGGTAAAAATGCAAGGAAAATGAAAAATAAAGGTTGGATTGTGAGAAGTAAACTATATCAAATGGTGTTTTAAAGCGGGTGATTGTTGAAGGTTGGGGTGTTTTGGAGAGATGAGGTGAGATGTGAGAATTTTGGGAGAATGAAATATGTTGGAAAATAAAATTGTTTGTGCTAGAGATTGAGGGTTTTAGGTGACTGTTGAAAAGTAAAAGCTCTCTTTCTCTCTATCTCTCTCTCTCCCTCCTTACTTGTGCCTTGGGGTGATTTTCAGAAAAATACGAAATATAAGTTAAAAAAATGAAAAGTTCAAAAGGCAAACAACAGAAATGGTGTTCAAGCCCGAAAAAATAAACGTTTTAATTTAAATAATATTTTTTTAATTATTTCCCATTTGATTATTAGACATGTTCCAATACATGCTTTATTGTCTTTATTTGCATGAACTGTGAGGAACAATATCGATAAAATAAACAAAAGGAAAAAGGGACAAAGGCGTCAGTCGCCCCCATCCAACCGGGTGGGGGTGCTACGGGCAAAAGTACCGGACGTTGGCTCTGATACTTTGTAAGTATTATAGAAATTAGATAAACCTTAAGGCCCAAAACCCCTGATGTGATTGTGCGAATTTCCAACCTTAGGACTCTGTAGAAACTCTATTTTTTATTATACATTTTAAATTCTAATTTAATTGAAAATTAGTTTTATTCTGTTATTCATATTTTCTTCTATTATTTAAATCCTCTTTATTTGTTTAGAACCCAAAACCCATTTATATATGCACATATTCCAAGAGTTAGTAACAATATTTTTCACTCCATATAACATTAGTAATACTTAAGGATAAAAATTAAGGACGGGTCTTAGAGAACTTAGATTTAGGATGCATGCACCCTCTAAGAAAGAAAACACTAAACATAAAAATTTTAGTGACATCCCACCTTAGGTTTAGTGAAAACCTTTAACCTAAACGCATTTAATATTAAATAAAAATGAAACAAATCATTAAAATTCTCTTTAAAATTTGAAAATTACAACCATGAATAATAATTCAAACCGCTATAAAATAAATGCATGAATTAAAATTATGAAAATAATAGGGGTAAATTAATTATTAAATTAAAATAAAAATCACGAGAATTAAAATAATAATAATAAACTTATAAGAAAAAAATCCCAAATAATCAAAACATATAAATCTCAAATATAAAAGTTAAAACATAAATATTAAAATAAAATAAAATCACAAAATGATTAAATAAATAAAAAAAAACTAATGAAAATTTTTATAACAAATTAATTAAATAAATCCTAAATAAAATAAAAAAAGAGAGGTTAAATAATAAATTAAAACAAATTAAATAATAATAATAATGATAATAATAATCTTAAAAATCTAACAAAGCATTAAAAAATTAAACAAAATTTTTAAAAAATCAATAAAACATGAACACTTTAATAAATCAATTAAAGTTTCAATAAATCATTTAAAATTAATAAATCATCAAAATTTTAAATAAATCATTAAAATTTTAACAAATTAAATAATAAAAAGGTAATTAATTAAGACAAGCATGTGCTCCTAAAACAATGTATTGCTAGCTTAGGGCTCGTGTGCCTAAAATAATGTATTGCAAGCATAGAGCTTGTGCGCCTAAAATAACATATTGCAACCTAATAAAAGCTGCTCACTTCCCAGCTTTATTCCTCTCCCCATCCCCTCCAAACGCAATTAATTAGATGGTTTCTCCTATAAAGAATGTTCTTAGAGGAGGAATGATATGCTTGATATGCAAAAATAACAAAGCGAAGATGCCAAGGAAACTGAAGAACATTAGTGCCATAAAGGCTCATTATGAAAGTGTGTAGAAATATTTAAACCACGAGTGCAAGGATTGTGAAAACAAATTTTTCTAGAAGTGTGAGCTCGAAGCTCACAAGAGGGACTTTGGGAAGCATAATTATATATTTATGACTGTGGTTTGGCCAGACGGCTACACAAAGAACTCGTGGATGGCTACACAGGCTCCACGTGGTAAATGATTATGACTGTGGCCCTCTAACGTAGTGGCTTGGTCAAACGGCTCATATATTCCTCAATGTCTAACATTATTGAGTAATGAATCATAGGGTATGATTGATAGGGTACAAAGCCCTCTGTTAGCTAAGGTTGACTTGAATTTGTTCCTTAGCTAAACATTCACCCAAGTCTATAAGGTCTCCTTATACGAAGTAACCCATTATTGCTAACAAGGATCATCGGTCATGTTGGGTCGACTGCCTACTCTGACTAAGCAGATTAGGGACCATGATGACCCATGATGACAAAACCATGTGATCTTGATATGGTTTGTCATCATTCCCCCCACCATCCGCTTTATGTGATAAGTGATAAAATTTTCAATTTTAAATATCTAAATATGCTGCTACTATACACTAGATACTAAGTATATGTTCAATAACTAGCCTTAATCAAAAGTGCTCTCTTGTTATCGAGAGGGATAATTAATTATAGGGACTTGCACCTATAGGAAACCAGAACTAAGATATCAAAGTCGTTGCTAAGAGTGCGAAATCTCTAGGTAGTGTCTTATCTCTATCTAATCCGCCTTCCAAAAATTTTCCATGAAGCATAATTTGTTAAAACTCTCCTCGAATACGCAGATAAGTAGGGGTTCTAAATCTCGAATTTTTGGAGCCCGCATACCTCAACCATAAACACATTAAAATGAGTGATGGTTTGATATTGTTGAGTATGACCTTAACTTCCTCCTTGTACGGGCAAGCAAGTCGTGGTTCTACTTCCGCTCGTAGAATGGGTTGTCCTATGATTTTGAGCAACCTCGCTTACAAGTATGCTTTATATTATTAGGAGTGGTGGCAGTCTTGTGGCATGTGGTGGCCTCCTCTCTGCTTAAGATTCTAAGACAATTTTTATAATGCATGTGACTTTGATGTCTATCCTATCTAACGGCCAGTTTGTTGGGTGAGTGATTGAGGATGCCATGACCACATTTCTGTATTATTTGATGTTTATGACTATTGGTGAATTCCAACAACTCAAGTAGCATATACGTTGAAATACTTGAGTGGTTCTTCTCACAAAGCTTGTTTCAATATAGCCGAGATACTACTGGCTCTAGATCATTAATCAATATGTTTGCAAGTATATTTGTTAAAATGCAGTTTTACCTAATGTGTGTAATTAAAGCTATGCTGCATGAAGCTTCACACTTGATTCCAAATACTACATATTCTTCCGCTTGTAAATTCCTTCATTCGTTTGGATTATCCACATTATTTACTACTTGAAGCTTTCACATAGTCATTAGCTATATTTGCGCTAAAAAAGAAAAGTGAAATCCTTATTTAGGGATGGATTATTAAGTCTTTTTTTGAAATCTAGTTGAATCAACTTCATTCTTGATTTGAAGAATGATTTTGAGTAGGCAACTTTTCAATTATTCTTATCCTGGAGTTTACCAAGGTTAATAGTGTGTCTAAGTTTGCTATAATATGGGAAAATAAAATTCTTTGAAAAGCCCACATAGATTTGGACTACTCCTATTTTTGTGATCAAATACAACATTAAAAATAGCATACTATTTCTAGAGATAAAAACAAGTCTACAGTAGATTCAAATACAAAAATAAGAAATTAAAAATCATTCACTTTCATAATTAAATACAAATAGAAGAATAATATCCCAAGTGAAATTTAAAGGTTATAAACACTAATTATAATTAATATTTTTTATAATCAATGCAATTGATATTAGAAGGCGAGGAATGCATTATATAAGAAGATATCATCGGTGGTTAAAGCCTTGCTGCGCCACCACCTTTTACTTTACTTCAAACCAAACATAAAATTTTTAAAACCCTTTTAAACCTTAGCATTAAGACCTAGAATGATTATACATCATTAAAAATTGATCAAATTGGATAGGAAGGCTGTCAACAAAATAATTAGGAAAGAATCATCTCATCTTCTTTATTTCTACGAATTCATCTATATGATGTCCATCGCACCGTAATTAACAAATATAATGACTACGCTCTCATATATGCTGGTTACGTGTCGGTGAAGTCAACCCAATAACCAGATGTGTTTAATCCAGATCTAAATTTCTAACCCATTTATAACTGAGTCAAATTCTAATAAGTTGATTTTGACCGGCTTAATTCCGGTTCGATTAGAACCCAACTAAATAACCATTTTTACACCCCCACCCCCCTAATTCTCTTGCTCCTCCATCTTCAGCTTCGCGTCTACTAGCAATCTCTATCTTGGGCTTCGCATGAGGAAGATTTTGAAAAAAAAAGTCTTATACACCTTCTTCTATGATGTTATTCCTGTCGGATCGGGAGTCAAGATAGGAGATCGCTGGTTTCCTTGAGGTCTTGGCAGTTATTCCTTTTAGATTTGGAGTCACAACGGGCACCCGAGTCATCGCTTCATGAATAAGCATTTCTACAACGTTCCTATCAGATCGAGATTTGGGACGGGAGGTTGCATTCACTACTCTTCTTTTTCATTTATTAATTTAGTATCTATGTTTTGGAAGTGATTTTGAATTCACTAATCTTCTTTTGCTTGTCAAACTCTCATGCACTATCAAACTCCCGCAAAACTTCTGCAGATAATGCATTGCATTCTCCTGTTCTAGCTCTGTGCAACCTTCGTGTTCTCCAACAACTTTCCGGCGATAGTCTGAGGTATCATTTCACGTTTTGCAGCAACACTCTTGTCCGACGGTGGTCTATTGGAACTTAATTATCGCTGATTAGTTGCAACTCCTTTCCAGAGGTCGTCTAAGGTTCTTATTGTTTTGATAAATGAAATCAGGTATCCGATTTGAGTTTTTCTTTGTTTTGAAGTGCACGAAAGTGGTTTTGCATTCACTAATTTGGCATTTGAACGAGCAACATTCACGTAGTGGTTTTTCATTAACTAAGTTTGCATTTGAATGAGCACGTGCGTTCACTTTTCTTCTTTTCATTTATTAATTTAGTATCTATGTTTTGGAAGTGGTTTTGCATTCATTGATCTTGTTTTTATTTATTAATTTAGTATCTATGTTTGGGTTTCTTCATTCTGTTAATTGGTGGAATGATTGTGTTGGACCATTTGAGTATAGTTTGTATTGGATTGGTAGCTAAATGCTTGTCTCGATGCTTTTAATTTGTTTAATTCTCTTATTATCTTGCCTAGGTTAATTAATAACTTACCTGTAGATATAAGCTAATTTTTTATGGGAAACTCAATTTCTCTATCAAAGTAAATCATTATAAATAATTTGAGAACTAACTCAGAACCACTCAGCTTAATAGCGTGCAGAGGAGATGGTTATTAATCAGTAGGTTTCTTCTATGTTATTTTAGCTAACCTCATGTGCATGATTGATGAATACCAATGCTGATTAAGGTACTTATATTCTAATAACTTGGAATCCCTTGATGTTCGTTGAAATGAGCAATTTTGTATTGAATATGCATTTTTTTACTATCTTTTTTTTTTGGCATTATTGAGGCCTCAGTTGGATGCTAGAGGTTCTAATCAATTTTGATGAAGGAATTCGGTCATCTGGATAAAAGATTTCTTCCTTTTATGCTGTTTGGTTCTCATAAAATCATGATTTGATGGATTTGAGTTTCATGGATGATCGTTTTCTTCGTCATTTCATTGGCTTCATATTTCATCTTGGCTGTACTATTTCTTCCTACTTGCATGCTTGTTTTAAGCGCCTTCATGCACTTAATATCTGCTTCAAATGCCTTTTGACATTTTTTGTAAACTGATATCTTTTAATGAAATTATAAAATTAAATCAACTTAGTTAATAAAAGATATAAAAAAGGCACATTTCATTGTTGGACAATTTTTTAAAATGAATTTGTTTAAAAAATTTTTAGCTGGAAATAAATCAAATGTTGCCTGTCGTTATCTTAGGCAACCACTAGCTGTACTACGGTAGCGATGCTCTCATGCTGGCGAGCTCTAACGAATTGTAAATAGTGTCGGAGATGGATTGGGCCTGAGTTGTGAACCTTTCACATGACTTGCCATCGGCCCATCGTATGTTCCGAATTGCCAGCCCGAATTAATTTGCTCGTACGAATTCCGAGCGACTGACCTTTAATAAGTAAATAAGAATATATATTCTGAAAATTATAATTTTATAAATTTTTAAAAAATTACATTAAAATTTGTAAGAGATAAAGGATTAAATTAAAATAAGGATATATATAATTTCTAATTAATCTTCTTTTATTTTATTTTTTAATTTTTATGAATTTTAGCAACTCATGAAACTTGTTGCTATAGTTCATTGGATCAAAGGCCATACGAGGGTACGATGGGTAATTTACATATTAAAAACAACTTTCTGTTACTTGGGGCAAAAAAATTGCATGGAGGCGGAAAAATTGGCATGGGAAGTGATCCTTATAGGACTGAGGTGGGGTGAGTGAGTCATTCCTATTGCTAGAGAGAGGAGGCGTAGGAGGTTTTTCTGTTCTTGCTGAAACGAGATAGGCGGACGACGATATATGAGCCATGAAACGAAAATTTCTCTTTTTAGCTCCCGGGCAGAGTAATTATCTTTTTTATTTTAATAACCTATTTTCCCTAATTTCGCCTTCAATTTGGCCTCAACCTTGCTATATGTTATTTTGCGTGAATGACCGGAATTTGTACATAGTCGGCAAACTTCTTGCTTCAGATCTCCGATTTGTCGCTGGCAAAGGACTTTCTCAACAAACCTAAGGTTCACGCGACTTTTCTCCTTTTGATTTTAAGCATGTAGGTTCCGTAAAAGGATTTCTTGCTTTTTATTGACTATATTTATGGCCAACGCTTGTATTTGATTCAAGTTTAGCCTGTGGCTTTTTTTGTTCTATGCTTGCCTTTGCATTTCATTTTCTGTTCAATTGATCGTGTTATTTGGATTTGCAAGTGATGAGAACACAGATAGGGACATCTGCACTCTCATTTAGTTTGATGATAGTGCCTTGGGATTTGAGATTAATGTTTATTTGATCCATTGTGTAACGAAACTGTTGGATTTTGATGCATTTTTTATATACATTTTTTGGCAGATTTTGCAAACATCTATTTCTTTTCTGAAACATCTAGCTTAGCACAAGATTTATGAAAAATTAAATTAGGCCCCCACTATACAAATTTTTTGGCTCTGTGACTGGTTCAATGCACCATATACTTCAATTAAAATTCAAAGGTAATTGAAGAGGTGATGAGATAGATTTTCTTTCGAGCATAGGAATCCTTCTTTATAGATTAAATGAATGGATGAAGTTGATGATTCCCCTTGCATTTCAATAGTCATTTGTTGAATTCACAATTTGTTGCTAACGATATATGTGATAATTATTTCAATACCTAACGAGAGATTACATGCATACATATATGTATGTTTCAATGTTTTGTTAGTTTAATACAAAATTATGCTAATGGTGACATAATTTTTCATACAAATTATGTGAGCAACAGTCTATTACCGAGCAATGCTTTGGAGGACAACAGAGGAAATAAGTCAACCTTTGGGAGCTTAGAAGTCTTCAATTGCAGGGTATATTTCTTTTTCAATTTCTTTTTAATGAGTTCATTTAGCCATGAAATTTGATAGGGACATCGTCAATATAAGCAGTTCAATAAAACATTTTAATGAAATCAAAGCACAAAAGAGATATTATCTTCAACCATTTTTTATATATATTGACATCAAGATCAAGCTTAGATAACTTTTCAAGACTAATTTAAACTATACAAATTTTTTATACAATCATAACACTAATTCTTAGAATTATTTCATTTCCATCAATATTTGGCATGAAAACTCCATATATATACATACTCTCTATGATTTAATATTCTATAGATATATGTAACAACGAAGATTGTCTTTTATTTGATTGTCAAATTAATCATCCATCTATTATTAGAACACTTAAATGTATATAGATATCATGATTTCAAATGATATTTAGCTTGCATTGATTTATCTTAGCTATTTTTCACATGTAGCATCATTTAATATATCATCACAATGTTCATATGCATGATAGTGTCTAAATTTGAATATGCTAAGAAGTAATACATATTTTTTCTGTCATCTACGAGTGACAATGACAGTCATTTGGATAGTAAACTTATGGATTTAAGTTGCCTTCATTTCATTTAAACAAAGGTACTATGACCGGAATCCATCGGACAAACTTTGATGAGATATGACTCTTAAACTTAAAAAGAAACCAAGGTCTTATGGCCATTCATATACATCAATAACACTTTTCCCCAAGCTTTTGGTCCTTGTAGAAATCCTTTTTTTTACCCAATAATCGATAATGATATAAAGGAATATTGATTAGTTTTAGCTCTAGGAGTGTCTAAATTTGATTGTTTTTAATTTAATTTGTATTGCTATATAAATTTTTAGGATGTGTCTTTAAACATTTATGGGTTGTTTGCTTGATATTTTTAATCATAATCCAAACAATTGCAAAGGCACATAAATCAAAACTTGGGAAGATATGTGTGGTCCAATTATAAGAAAACACAAGAAGAACTATTTTAAATGGAGTATAAATATGTAGCTGGTAGTGTGCATGAAGTAGAATAATATTACCAAATTAACTTTTAGAAAGAAATTTATTAAGAATGGTGCAACAAGCTATATATTTAGATAGCTTCCCATTATAATCCTACTAAGTATACTTTTTTTTATGTAAACAAAAGTATGGTTAAAAGGAGAATATAAAGCGAAGAAACTATAATTGACCAAAACAATCCCAGAAAAATAAACTTCATAATAATTCAAAACAAATCCAAGAAAAAGCTTCATAAGACTGGACACATTAGTTGAGATAAAAGCAAAAAATTTCTAAATATTGAGATAGATGGAAAGAAATAATCCTTTAAGCAAAGTACATAAAACAAATTGATAGAAGGATTGAAAAAAGAAATCTGGGATACAAAAATCCAAACAATACAAACTAAAAAAATGAAAAATCTAAGAAATGTCCTTAAATTATAGAGATGTGGAAGGCAGTTTGATGAACAAGTTTTGAAAGCTATGTAGTTTTCAAATGCAACACTCTTAAGTGATGAAACACCACACTTAATTTGTGGATATAACAGAGAAACGATATACATGTAAATCATCAAAATTACATTAAATGTGAAACACAATTTGACCATAAAATAGAAAAGAAGATATGAGAATGAACAGTTAAAATAATAAAGCTACAAAATAGTACCAATATAATGAGATGAATAAATGAAAGGGTTTTTTGTAAGGGTTAACTGGTCTTCATTCATAAAGTATTATTTTAGTTTTATAGACATAGACTCAAATAAATTTTTTAGAGACAAGAAGAGAAAAAGAAATTCCCCAAAAAACTTATTTCTTCCTCAAATAAACAAATACTTTAGGCTACTCGTACTCAAGTAAATAGAGAAGAAAATAGAGAAGATGCAGAAGAAGAAAATAGAGACAAGGGAAAAAAAAAAGCAAAGCAAAAGAAGGGAAGAAAGGGAAAAAATAGAGAAAAATCAGGGGAAAAGAAGGAAGAATAAAACAAAGAAGAAGAAGAAATGGAGAGGAAGACGAGGATGGAAATGAGGAAGAAAAAGAATAAAGGAAGAGGAGGAAGAAGCAAATAGAACAAATTGGTAGAAGTTACATGTGCGTGAGAGCAGCCGGCGGCAAGGTGGGCTTCAGGTCACGCTAGAGAGGGGTAGGCTGAGGGCTTCGTTCCATCTGGGCGTGCGAATAAGAGGGCCGGTGGCAGGTGATCTTCGAGTCAGGCGAAAGAAGGGAGGCGGAGGGCTTCCGTCTAGTGGTTCGAATGAGGAGAAATTATTAGGTGAGGACACCGGACAGAGAATCATCCGAATTTCTCTTGTCTGTAAAAGCACAGTTAAAGCACAATTAAAGTTCAACTGCTACAGTAGTTGCGCTTAAACTGGGCTTTTACTATAGAAATCTAGATGAATCTCTATGTCCGATATCCGCACCTAAAAATTTTCCCCGAACGAGAGGGAGAAGAGCAGGGGAGAGGTTTTCATTAATAGAAGATAAGAAAGGCTAATGAAAATTTGGTTATGCAAGTGAACAGATGCAATGATATGCGAACAGTTAGGATTTATTCAGTTTTTTGAAATGAATGATTAAGATGTTATGTGTATAATAATAATAATATAGTATCTATTTACTTAATTTATTTAGTTGGAAGGGTTTTAAAATTAATTTAGTTAATTTTATTTGATTTATTTATTGAATTACTTATTTTGTTAAAGTTTATTTAAGAGCTTTAGTTAAAATTTTATTAATTTGTTTTGTTAAAAGAGACTCAAAAATTATTTAATTCATTTATTTAGTTAATTTATTATATTAGTTTGTTTAATTAATTTATTTAGTTAAAGATTTATTTAAATAATTTATTAATTAATAGAGCTTTTAAAATTTATTTAGTTCATTAAATTATTTTATTAATGTCATTAAAAGATGATAGTTATGTATATCGAGGGGTGTCAAAATGAGTTTTCGGGTTAAATTCAAATCCAATATGAAACTGACCCGCCTTCACGTGCTCCAACCTAAACTCAACCCAATTACACAAACGGGGTCATAAATCTGAACCTGAACCAGACCCTCCCTAAATTAAGCATAGAGTGCGGTCGAGCACGACCGGGCTGGACGTGGGATGCGAGCGGGCACTGTAGGCAACATGAGGGATGTGACTTACACGATGCGTTATAGAGCAAAAGCTTGCTCGCCAGTACGGTAGCAAAGCACGCGGAAAAGAACACCTGAAATTTCCTCGGGTAATTGTTGAATTTCCCATAGTGATATAATTAAGATATTTTAGTTATTTAATTTATTTGTATTGCTTAAAGAATAAATTTATAAATGATTTTTAAGATATCTGACATTTCATTATTTTTTTATTTACTTTTCTCTTTTATCAGTGATTCAACTTATTTATTAGATTTCATAAAAAGACTTAATAATAATACTCTTTCCTCAAATCAAATGACATAACATAAAAATATATATTCAAATTAAAAAGGTTCATGCATATTAGCTGGCAAATAACTTACAAACACTGATAGTTCAAAGATACTCATGTTACGTGCTTCTTAGAAATACTAATATATTACATTTATGAAAGTGATGGCATAAACCATGTTGAAGGAGGCTAATTATGTTGCCAATCATAGCCAAAAAAAAATATTGGAAGCAATCATTTTGAAGATCAAAAAGACCAAAATCACAATCAGCTTCCTCTATCAACATTTCATCCCAATGATCATTAAAATATACTTAGTTCAGTCTAATTCTAGGAGCAACCTTGTGATACAATGTAAATGTCTGGTTACAACCTATAAAAAAGGAGAAACCCTGTAATAACTTGTATTTTGACTTTGCTCATTTTTTCTAGAGTCATTATAACTCCAAATCACAATCTGTCTTCACAATGGTATTTTGATCAAAGTATTTTGCTTACATGAATTTTTTCCATAATTTTTGGACACCGGTGAAAATTCTTATGGAATTTGTACATGTAGGTACAATGAGGATTTCGGGACCTTTAGGTGTCCATTTTGTAAACTGATTTCACATATATTTTTTAAATATTATGATTTATTTTATGAATAATTCTTCCAAATTAAATTATGGGGCATCATAATTGGTATGTTTTGATTGTACTGATTTGATTTATATTGATTTTGTGCCCGAATTCTAAAGGGAAATGTCGGGGACGACATTTTCTTAAGGTGGGTAGATTGTAATAACCGGTATTTTGACTATACTAATTTTTTATGGAGTTATTATAACTCCAAATCACAATCCATCTTTGCCATGGTATTTTGATCGAAGTATTTTGCTTATACTAATTTTTTTTATAATTTTTTGGACATTGGTGAAAATCCTTAAGGAATTTGTACATATAGGTACAAGTGAGAATTTCGGGATCTTCAGGTGTCTATTTTGTAAATTGATTTCAACAATATTTGTTTTAATATTACGATTTATTTTATGAATAAATATTTTAAATTAGATTCTGGGGCATCATAAACCCTCCCAATCCTTCCTAAAGATCCATTGAGAGAATGAACAAGAAGAAGTAATAACAGATGGCCCTAACTTTAAAATCGAGATCCTAATTATCTTTCCAACGTACCTATATCACCCGGTATATACCTTCTGTTATTTGGTATATCCTAAAATGTTGTCTCTCTCTCTCGGCTTTTAAAAGACTTTCCATTAAAAAGAAAAAATAGTTCATGCAATCAGAATTTTTTGTTAATGGGTCTTGTATCGATGGGCATATCATTTAAATATTTTGTCCATTTAGGTCAAAGGCCAGCACCAATGAGAAATGTGTGATTGCATAAAATTGTTGCTCTTCTTTATGATAGTAAACATCCTCAAACACCTCAAGCCAGTTGGTGTGGTAAGAAAGAAATTATGGACAGAGTGCCCAAGCTTGGTCATCGAGCTTTGCTTGGGTTTATAATTCGAGCCGATTTTGCCTCGAGATGCATGCTTAATCAAGATGATTT